CTATATATTAGTCTATAAGCGTAACTACCTAAGCTGTAGCTAGATCTACGTATTCTAAAGGGATACTATAACGATATTAGCCTACAAGCCGTAACAGACGACTAGAAAGATCTAAGTAAAGTCCCTACTAAGGATAATAGGCACACTACTAAAGAGAACGTTATCTATAGTGCCTTATAAGTCTATAAACAGCCAGTAGACTACCTTAAAACAGTACTTGTTTTATATAAGAACCTTATCCTAGATAATCAAATTAGCCTATTATAAGAGCTTTCTAGCCTATAAAGTCTTAGTTATTATACTACTAGACATCTTATAGATAAGGACAGGGATCTTAAACAAAGAGTAAGAGGTATAGCTACCTAAGAGTAAGAGGGCTATAATACCTATAGAGGTAACATAGAAAACTGTCTTACTTAAGCCCTAGAAGTAGTAGTAAAGGGTCCGGTAAAGGAACGTCTTACTAGTGCCGCTAGGGCCTTAGAGATAGAAGTAGGCTATTTCTAGACTATCTTAAATAGCTATAACAACCTAATTATAGTACTCCTTCTAGCCTGTGTTTAATAGTAGTACTTGTTCTTTAGCTAGAGCCGCCTTTATTATAAGATCGTACTCTTATTTTATTATAGCCTCTACCTAAGACTAATTAAACTTGTTTTTAAGTAACTATACGCTTACTAGAGACTTACCCTAATCTATAAGCCCCTTTTTTATTAGAAACAGTCTATAATCGTAGTAAGGATTAAGTAACAGGAAAGAAAAAGAGCTAGTAGGCGCCTGTCTAAGCCGGTAGCGTAGATCGTTATATAGATTATCTTTAAACCGATCTTATAGAGCTGTTAGATCTGTAATAGCCTTGTAACAGATGCCTAATACTAAAAGCGCCTATAACCTACTTTTAGACATAAAGACCTTAGCCTTATTAAAGTATTAAAACTACTCTTAATTACTCTCGTATAACCTACGTACTACGTACGCGACGTAATACGTTAGGTAGGTTTTGTCCTTAAAATCGTATAGCTCCTTAAACGATTTTAGACTAGGAATAATAGTAAGTAAGAGCCGTAAGTAGTAACGCTTACTTATAATAAGGCTATAGTAGAATATACACCTAATACCCTACCTCTTTTACTATAGGCACTACTACCCTAGCTTCTTATACTATACGTAGTAGTTAGAGAACTCTTAGTATAGTCTTTTTAGATCTAGATTATAACAGGTATTATAGTTAAAGAAGCCTATTAAGGTTGTCTTAGCTGTTTTAGCCCTTACAGCTAACTAAGAGGAGGTTAAGTCTTTACTATAATAGACAGGCTATTAACCCTTTAGGTATAAGGCTAAACGCTCTATATACAAGTACTCTTAGTAATACCTAAACTTAAACAAACGCTAGTACGCCTCTATTATACCTACGTAACAGGCCTAAATATACTACGTAATCTCGTCTATAGATTCTAAAACAGCTATAGTCGTATAATCTAAACCCTTATAAACGTACTTGTGTATATACTTAACGGCTATAACACTTATATAAACCTTAACGTTAATATAATAGTAGAACTTCTAGAGTAGGTACAGGTTATAAGGGACTACTTAACGATTATTACGGGTTACTTACTCTCTAGGGTAGCCTAGTTTAAGGACTATAAACGTGTACTTATTGTCCTAGTGTTAGTATTTAGGGTACAAATCCTTTTAGACAATTGTCTATTCTATAAAAGCCTTTAAGAAGTACTTTAAGTACTTTTTTAGGCTATTAGGCGTTATACTTTATATGTAAGGACTATTAGGATTATTATCCTTATAAGGGCCGTAGGCTATCTAAACCGTAACAACGCTTACTAACTTACCTGTTAGGTCTTACAAAAGGTCTAGGAGCTTAGTATAGACGATTTAATTAATCTAATTAAGGGTAAAGTAATCTGTATATACCTTAAGGAACAACAATAGGTACATGTATAGTAGGCCGCGTTTCTAGTACTTAATCGTGTATACGTAAGTACTATAAGGCCTAAAAACACCTTTATAGACGTCTTTTAATAGCTTATTAACCTTTTAGCAAAAGATACAGACTACTATATTAGGCTAATTACTAGTACTCTAGCCTTATAATAGCTGTTCCCTAATCTCTAGCTAGTCTAGGTTTACTATAAAAGTAATAAAAAGGGTTAGCTTACTAAAGTAACAGACAATAGCTATTAAATCCTAAAACTACTGTTATATACTCTTATTACTACCTATATAAGTAGCCGAGAAGACGATCTTACGGCCAAGCTTGTTAAGGCTAATATCCTTACGGATTATTGTATTAACTAAGCCCTAGTAGAGATTAGCCCGTATCTTAGGCTAGTTCTGTTTAATCTAGTTAAGATTAGTATACTCGTAATAGACGTAACTATTAACACAATATTACTAAAACAGGCGTCTAGAGTAGTAGAGGATTAAAAACTAGTGTTTATAGGCTATAAGACAGTACTAATAGTACTAGCGCTATTATAGACAGGTCTACTAACAGGTACTATTCTAGTTATAGAGAGTTAACCTATAGTACTAGCCGTAGTCTTTATACAGAAAGAAAAGTACGTAGTAAAGAGGTATATACACTATAGTCGTAAGATTAATCTACTAAATAGCGTAGCTATTCTTACCTAGGTTATAGACTATAAGGACGATATTATAGTACGTTTCTTTTATTGTTTTGTGTATAATAATAGCTACTAGCTTGTCGCTAGTAGTAGGCAGGTTATGCCTATAACAGTCTATACCCTTCTCTAGAACTAGCCGTATTTATAGATTTAATAGTACCTAGAAATCGCCTTACTATTTATAGAGCTACTTACTAGCTATCTTATATAGCTTTATAAAATAATTATTATTATAAAGCTATTCTAAAAGCTCGTAAAGGACTCTAAGGTTTAAACCTATAAACCTCTATAGCTAAATAGAGTCGGCATAATCTAGGTCGTAAATAAATAGCTAGGTAAAGGTAGGGGTTTTACCTAGTAGCGGCTCTAACAGGCCCTAGCCGTAGTAAAGCTTACTATAGATAAAGAAGACGTAGATACCTTAAGTAGTATTAAAACAGGTGTCTTTCTTAAAATTATAAGAGGTAAGTATAAGTACTAAGTTATATACTTATATACTTCTTATAAAGTCCTAGCTATAAGTATCTGTCTTATCTAAGAGCCTCTATAGAAAGCGCAGTAGGTCTATAATACGTAAGAGCTCTACCTCTCTATTAAGGTAGTATAAAATACCCTTGTTAACCTACTATAAAGCGTAATAGTAATAACAGACGTCTGTTATATAGCCTAAATTATAGGCCTTTACTATAGTGTTAAAGTAAGACAAGAACGCTACTAGGTGTCTACTAGGTACAAGATTGTCTTTAGGTATAGAGGGTTATAGACTATTACTAGACTGTTACAAGAGGTATATAACTAGGGACTATAGGGTTAAGAAAGGATTAGAGAGATTAGGAGAGAGTTAGGGGTCGTAAGGCTAGAGCTTAGAGTCTAATAGTAGTGTAAAGTTCGGGTCGTAGAACCTAGAGGATTATAGGTCTATAAAAAGCCGTAAGTATAGAATATTAGTTATAATAGCGTCTTATAGACTTAGAGACAGTCTAGAAACAAGGTCTTTATATACTATAAAACCTCTACGCTCTAAAGTAGCTTCTATTAGAGGCCGGTAAGGGCGTCCTAGCTACTATAAAGGTAGACGCTAGATAACAACACCCTAGTAAGGGCGTCTACAAGTACGTTTTAGAGTAAGGACATCTGTAAGCTCGGCCTTAGAGGCTAGCTAAGTAACGGTTTAATAGGTTAGGCACGCCTTATTAGTATTAGGATCAAGATCTTTAAGTATAGTCCGCTCTACGCGATCCTATATAGTAATAAAAAGGTTAGCTTTACTATAGAAAGCTATAACTACATACCTTATAGCGAAAACACTTCTTGTAACAGGCCCTATTCCTATTAATAGTAAAGTCGACAGTAGGACAGAGCTTGTTACAGGTCTGGCACTAAATAGAAAAGGACGGCGTAGAAGTTAGCGTAAGAGTTAGCGTAAGAGTTAGCGTAAGAGTTAGCGTAGGAGTTAGCGTAGGAGTTAGCGTAGGGGTTAGCGTAAAGGATTCTATTACGAACAGAAGTAGAATAGCTAGGTAGTAGAGAGAGAGCGGATCAAAACAGACAAAACAAAAGGATCTATAAAGAGTAAGAAAGAGGTAAGAGGAGGATAGGCGTTAAATAAAAAATATATAGGTAGGTAAGAGGTAAGGAGGTAGGGAGGTAAGAGAGCGCGTAGGCGCGTCGTAGAGCCTAAGGTAGTAAGGTAAGAAGCGGGCTAATAAGAATGCGAAAAAATACCCCTGTTTTCGGCAAAAGTTCGGTCTATTTTCTAGTATAAGGTAGATTTATATATCAGACTACTTCCTGCCTCAGGCCTTCTAATACTTGAATCCGAATCCTAGCAGTGATCGCCATACCTACCTATCCTATTCCCCTAATCGTTCGGTAGGAATTACAATGAATGAATCTTAGATTAGATTAGATTCATTGCAATATACTAGCGTGTGTTTACCGAGTGCTGTTAGATTCCTCACCTTACTTCGATCCGTTACTCTAAATTCTGAAAAGAAGAACAATGTAGAGTTGGTATATCTAAGGTAGGTGGCAAGCTCCCGACTTAATTCTGTAGTTCTGGAAAAGGGATTCTTGGGCTTGTGACGAGCTCGGGAATAGCTCTTTACTTACCTCCTTAAGGGCTATTATTTGAACTGTCGCCGGGTAGAACGGTTTCGAGGTTCAAACTCAATTGTCATTGTTTTTTTCCCTCTCTGTTACAGGTTGAAGAATGTGGATTAGGTAGGTACTTGTTAGATAGATGATATGATATATTTTTATATTCATATTCGTATTTATTCTGCTTCATATTTCTGCTTTATCGCGCATTTCGATTTTAGATCCCCACACTATATCCCCCTCCCCTCCCCTCCCCCACATTCCCCCTCTCCACACCCACTAAACAACACCCTCCCCCTCCCCCTCATCCCCGACCCCTAACGCCGCCTGCAACAGATCCAGCTGCTTTTGCATACTCTCGGCCTGCTGCAAACAGCTTCTAATCCCGCTCTGCAAACCTCCTAGAATACTATAGATATGTTTCTGTTTCTTGCGCGGTAGGGTATCGATAAGGGGGGTGTCTGGGGGCGGGGGCCGCGTGGGGGGGAGGAGGGATTCTGAGGGTTGAGGGGATTGGAGATGCGGAGCGGATTGAGATTGGGCTTGGGCTTGGGCTTGGGCTTGTTGTTGGTTTTGGAGGAGTTGGGCGCTGGGGGAGAGGGAGGAGGAGGAGCCGCGGCCGGAGGTGGTGGTGGGGTCTTGGGGCGTGCTGGAGATCTCTTGACCGCTGGTACGGGTTCGAGACCGTGGCGAGTCGGTGATTCGCGATGGTGCGTCCTGGGGGGTGGAGAATTTGGGAGGGCGGCGTCGGGGGTCGTCTTTCTGATAGATGACGTTCAGAGGAGGATCTGTGGGAGCGGGAGCCGACGTAGGGGTTCGCGAGTTGACTATCATAGGGGAGAGCACAATGGGTCGATAGGGAGATACGTATGGTCTCCATACATCAGTTCCTTGCAGCGTCTCCCTCTTGCGCTTCAGACTAGATGGGTTCGTATACTCGATAGGCGTCCAGTCCGCGGACTGCGACTGGCGCGGAGGCGCTGTTCGCTGAGATTGACTCTGCGGCGGCTGTTCCTGTCGTTGAGCATCTGCACCAGACGCCTGTGCATTCGATTTCTCCTTCTCCGTATCCCTCGAAGCCCCATCCGCCTCTAAATCAGGTCAACACTCTCCCTAGCCAGAACCAGAACCTCAACAACGAAAAAAAAGAAAATGAGAAAAAAACAAAAGCCAAAAACCTACTCGCAGCTCTCGTCCTCAGATTACACACATTCCCCCTACTCGCCATCTGGCAAGTCGCGCAGGCCCCCCCGAAAAAGCCCTCTAGAAAAACACACACCGAGAAGCGGCCCGCGCCCGACGCGCAATGGGTACACGGGGGCTCATTGACAACTCCGCGCGCAGCCAGCAGACAGGCGCCGCGGGTCTGCACGCGGTCGCTGTCTGTGGATTTCTCGGGCGGTAGCTCCTTGCCTTCGCGCCACGGGATGGGGCGGACGGGCGGGAGGGCGCGTAGGCGCTCGAGGGAGTCGCTGGGGCGGCCGCTGCGGCGGCGGTGCGGAGGAGGGGCGTGACGGAGCTGCTGCTGTTGTGAGGGCGTGTTGTTGTTGTCCATGCTGCTGGGGGCGGAGGACGCGGGGAGGGTCGGCGTCATGAGTGAGGTTGTCGTGGTTGAGGTTCGGGGGGGCATGGTCGTGGGTGGTTGGTGTATGCAGCTTGATGGGCTGGACGCGTCGAGGCGAGACGAGATAGACGACGTCGTTCTGCTGCTGCTGGTGCCGAGGGTTTGGCTCGCGCCGTGCACGTAAGGTAAGATAAGGCAAGGAACTTAACGACACACGGTATAGAATGAATCAATGAATCACGAAAATATATAAAGCTAAGGGAGCGAGGTTTTTTATAAATCGCGATTTCAAATAGACAATTAACTCTATTTTTATTCACACAAAATAATTCAACTCTGCTTAAGCAAGCCACTGACCAACCCTAAGGATTCCCCACCAAACCCCTCGGCATTGGTTCCCTTCCAGCAGCAACAAATAACCTTAATTGCATCGCAGAGCCTCACTAACCCGCCTTCCCCTTCCCCCCTTTTCCCCACGCCCCTCATCATGGTCATCAAGAAGCGCTGTCTCCTCTGGGACTGGACCAACACAGCCCACATGCCCGAAGCGATAGAACGCATCAACTTCAACGGCGCCCTCTCCTCCTGCGCCAACTGGAACGCCTGGGCTCCCCCGGAGCTACAAGGCCGTCTACCCTTCCGCCCCACCGTCCGCGGTCTCGAGCAGCTGACTTCTCCGCAAGAATGGGCCATGATACAGAACAACGATCATGCCATCCTGCACTTCTTCAATGAGCCAGAGCGGGCCGGTATCTCCCCGCGAGACGCTGTTCGCTGGTGGTGCGAGAAGATGGTCCCGCTGCGCAAAGCTACCGGGAAGCAGATCATCGGTCCGGGCTGTGCTAGCGATGCTGAGGGCGAGGCATGGCTCGCGGCGTTCATGGAAGGAGTGGAGGCTGTGGACGAGCCCCCAGATTATCTAGGCGTGCATTATTACGGTGCGGATGGCGGGGCGGCAATCCGGTATCTGGAGATGATGCAAGACCCTCCGTTTTCTTAATGGCGTGCACCGTTGACATCGAATAGGCATGATAGGTACCCGCGATATCCCATGGTGGTGTCAGAGATAGCGTCGATATCGAGGGTGAAAAAGGAGGTGTTTGCTTTCACGGCCCAGGTGGCCAACTGGATGGATCAGTGTCCGTGGATCTTTGAGTATGCATTCTTCGGCTGCATGCGCGGGCTTGCGGATGATTTTGTGAGCCCGGAGGCACAGTTGATGAATTCGGATGGGACAATGAGGTACTTGATGAAGAAGCTGATGGAGGAGCAGCCGATAAGACCGATTTGAGGGGTGAGATTGGAGGCTCAATTCCAATGGGGGGATGGCTGACGGTAGGTATGTAGTATGATTTAAGGTACGTAGGACACCTTTATGGCTATGGCTTGCTCAAGTGTTTAATACTAGCGGTGCTGTTTGAATCAAGCCCGGATTATACACTGAGCCGGACAGAGCCAAAGATTGAGGGAAAGCATTAAGCCAGAGGTTGGGCCAGAGGTTGAGCCAAAGCATTGAGCATAGCATCTGATAACGTCAGAAGGATTGCAAAAACATTATCTTCCAGGGGCAACAAGGGAAGACGAGAGCAGGGGCGGTGCCAAATTGAGGCCATCGGTCACTAGTCACAAGCAGATTTCTCAAAGACCGGAATAGAATTCATGATGTCGACCAAAGAATGCCAGCGCCCGTAAGCCCGAAGGCTCAAATGCGCCAGCGCCAAGTACAAGAATGGACGAATGGATGACTCCTCGCTGAAAGGACAAAACTGCCGATTCCCCCGCCTGTACGCCTGTTTCCCGACCCGCATCATATATAGGAGATGATGTATGGTATATTGCTGTTCCTGTTTTCCAATCCCGTTCACCTCTTCTGTCTTCCGCTGCGGAAAGAAGCTCAGTCATCCTGATGCGAGCCAGAGCTCTGGGTCTGGACGCTGTCGACGCTGTGATCATGGTTGAGGGTGGCATGGGCGTCAGGGGCGCGGCGGCGGTGGGCTGAGGAGGAGGCGGCTTCCATCTGCCTCATGGTGTGCTGGTGCATGATGCGGGCGTAGGAGGAGAGATCATCAGAGGCATCGTTGACGGAGTACTGGGCGGGGGGAGAGGCGGAGAGGCGGACAGAGGGGACGACGACGGAGGGGTCGACGGTGGAGGGTTCGACAGTGGAGGGCTCAACGACGTCGGCGGGGTCCGAGGCAGCCATGGTGAGGATGATTCTGGAGATTTCTGAAGATGTCTGTGGTTCTTCTATGGTTTCTGCAGAGGTTCCTGTGGAATCTGCGCCGGGGACGATGATGTGTGATATGGACGAATGAGGATGATGTCCAGATGCAGGCAGGGAGTATTTGTATGATGGCAGGGATTGTTGTTCCACGGTGAGTCTGATCTCTGATCACTGGTCTCTCGTCTCTGGTCTCTGCTATACCTGATAGACAGCCTCTTGGGGTGGAGTTCTGGAGTTCTGATATAAGGTTTCGAGAAGCAAAGCAACCTCTTTATAGCTGGCGCGCCCATGTCGCATGGCGCACGGCGCGATGCGTCACGGACGGCCAATCAAAACGCCATAAGTCATCACTCGGGAGTTGGGGCTGGGGCCACGCGCTGCGACGTCATCCGGGGAGTCGGCGACTTTCCCTTCCCCGGACGGGGGACGGCTCTGTCTCAGTGAGACACATCGGCACGGCGTGATCGTGGCGGCGGCGCCTCTCTTGGCTGCGGCTCTGGGCTGGGCTGGGCCTTTCTTGCCTTACTGCGCATGGCTGGTGTTGTACTGGGTATAGGTACTACTGGCTCTATGCTGTTCTGTTATACGTGCTACATGCTACATACCTTACCTTAGTGCTTGTTACTTGGTACTTCGTACTTAGTACTCGGTACTTGATACTTGGTACTCGGTACTTGGCTACAGGCTGCGCGGCTTACACTGCTGAGGTCCCTGGCACTGTCAGACACGCCCTTCTCTCCGTCATCCTGTCATCCTGTCACGGGTCCACCAGGCACTCTTCGCCTCCTGTTCGTTCCTCCCTCTTTTCCCCGGACCCGTGACTCTAGCCCTGAATGACTCGCACCATTGATTATGTCATCCGCATCATGACCGCCACTCTGACTCTCGACCCTCGCACTCGACCAGCGAAAGGAGAAACTTGGAAGGAAGGAGCGAAGGAGGAATGATGAAAGAAAGGGTGAAGGAAGGTGGATGGCGAACGTTCAAGGAAGGCGCAAACTGCAAAGAAAGCACAAGGGGCCACTAGCCGGGCCAAGGGGCAAAGACATCAGATGCGGCCTGACATCATTATCGTCCCATTGCCGCGTGCGGCGTCCCTGGGGTGCAGCCGCGCTAGGCCCGTCCAGGCCATGGGCGATCAGCGGCCCGTCGCCTGGTCATGTGATGTCAGGATGACTAAGCGCGGATGGCTCGCTCCCCCTTTCTCTGTTGGGAGGGAGAGAGGGAGAGAGGGAGAGTGGCAGAGTGGCAGAGAGGCAGAGCGGCAGAAGGGAAAAGGGGCTTCATCAACATCTCCTGACCTTCCCCCTCCGATCGATTCCTCTCCCCGATCACCATCACCGCGTCATAAGGCTGACATGAACACAGACAGTGTGGCCGTGACCGCCCTCAGCTCTCCCCCTTTCCGTCCCCTTCCCTTCGCTCTCTTCGCTGCATCTCCCCGATCACCCGCAATGCATGTGCCTTGCCCTTGATATGTACGGCGACGTCAGGCCCATCCATCCATCCCTCCATCCCTCCTCTCGGCCCGAAGATCGACTCACGATGATCGTACCAGGCAACTTCCTCCTGCAACTAACTCAACTATCAACACAGAACCATGATCTGCCCCTTCCCTTCTCAGCAGAACGATCCTTGCCCGATCCCGATACGTCAGCCGTGCATCGGCCCTGTTCGGGTGTTGTTTCCGGGTAATATGTTCGGCTATTGATCCGTTGCGACCGACCCCTTTCTCTCACATCCGAGACCACAGCTTTCCTTGCCTCAACTAGGTAGACACAAGAACCAAATCCCACATTTCATCCGTCCATCTAGGTATCAACACCCTCCATCACCCCCTTACCATCCACACTAACATCTCCAAGCTTCACAACCTACCCTCATATCATCCCCTCCTCCCTCCCCTTCTAATCCTGGATAGCTGAACGCAAAACGCATGCAGTGACCCAGCGGTATGCACACTCTGGCTCGACGCAGATCCGATCTGCGAAGACGACATCAGCATCCAGTCAGATGCGTCTCTTGCGGCGGAGTTGCGGGAGGTCAAGAGCCGACCCTTGTGGCAGACTGCCTTGCGAGGATAATAGACACAGGATCTGTACTGTGATGTAATGTTCCTATTCCTATTCCTGCTTCTTCTTCTTCTCCTTCTCCTTCTTCTGCTTTCTCCTTTCTTTATCTTATCAGTACCTGTTTTTGGGGATGCGATGTCATGCTATCCAACGCTATTGTATCCTGGGGTATGAGCTTCCTACCTACATCGACGGGTTGGTGGGTTCGTGGGCCAAGTTCGAAGATCTTACTCTTTGGATTTATACATCGTTACTAGGGTCTGTGTCTACTTGACGCCTTTTTCTTGATTTTTTCTTGATTTTTGTTTGGTTTTAGTTGATTTTGTATCTGAAGCCCTGTTTATTCTCTTCTCTTTGGAGCACTTGCTTATTAAACACCCACCATCCATCTATCCATCCATCCATCTATCCCCCTTCCCCTCTTATACATCAAAACATCAAAACATCAAACAAAAAATCTCATCCCATCTTCCCCAACACCCACTCCCCCCCTCCAAAACCAAATTCCCCCTCTTCACTTTCCCCAAGCCATCCCTACATCCCTCTTCTCTTTTTATACAACCTTATTTATATACAGTTTCGATTTAAATAAAACCTCTCTTCTATCATTTTTCTCTCTCCTTGCTACCTAGGTAGAGGTCACGAGATCAGAAATCACGAGGTTCGAAATCACGAGACGAACCGATTAATCTCTACCTTGCCTTACCTTACCTTACCGCGGACCACATCAGACCTAAGCACAGGGTACAGTATTCAAGAACTCATATATCAATCCGACTTGGAATTAGGATTAGAGTTACAATCGAAAGGGATTGCCCGCCGGGGGGAGGAGGGAATGTAGAGATGAGATAGATAAGCGCTAGAGATTCGATACTACAAGCTGTCTACCTAGGTAATTGTCTAAGGTAGGTAGGTTTGGTGATGAGATTTAGAAAAGGGGGAGGGGGGAGGGGGGTTTGTATAGATGGATAGATAGTATATATTCTTGGCTTTCTATTCTATACCTCTCTTTCTTCTTTTGTTTTACTTGTTATCTGATTTATTTTAATCTATTTTCATTCCTTTTTATTCTCACTCCTTTTCATTCTCACTTCCCCATTTCATTTCCAACCTACCTATCTCTCGAGATAAGGCTACACCCACCACCCCTCCCAAGCAATTCCCGCCCTATCTAAACATCACAGCTAAATAACGGCATGTAGCTTCCTGATCTCGGATAGTAATACGGAGGGGCTGGTTTAAGAGGGGGAGGGTTAGGGGTTAGGAAATGAGGGATGGAGAATAATAGATAAAAGGTTAGTTAGCGGGGGAAGAGAAGAGGGAGGCCAGAAACAACACAAAAGAACCCCCCCAAAGTAAAAACACAAACCCTTACAACAAAATCACTCATGTCATCATGAATCAATCCACTCAAACGACCACTCAATTCCCTACCCCAACATCAACATCATACAAGACATCCGTCCGAATCACATATTTCGCGCCCCTCCTCACCCCGGTGCCCTCATGCAACAAGCTGCCCTCCGTCTCGCCATGCGGGAACATGGCCACGCTGCCCTGGATCGGCTTCACCGAATACGCATTCAGACAGCCCTCGCGCGCGCTCGGGAGGAAGAAACTCGTCTCGCCGGCCGCGAACTCGTCGTTGAGGTAGATGAGGAATGTGAAGAGGGACGATTGCTTGGCGTCGGGCGGAGAGGCATCGTAGATGTAGGTCGAGTGGATAGGATCGATTGAAGAGGGGGGCCAGGCGCCGTCTGTTTCGGGGGAGGGGGAGAGTGGGTTAGTGGCTTTGGGGATTGGGGATGGGAGAAACTTGGATAAGGAAGGGAGGGAGGGCCTACCGATATGTGCGCGATACTCGGCGCCGGGAACGTATCTGTAAACCCGGAATCTTCGATTCAGACCTCTGACCTTCTTCCCGCCGACGTTCTCAGGAACGAAAGCTTGCACGCGACTCCACAGCTTGTCGTGGAATGCAGTATCGATGATCCAGTAAAAGTTGTGTGCTAGAATACTGCTCTCCTCTCCCTCGGCTCGGATGGGCGCGTCAGGCGTGAAGCCGATCTTTTCCGCTACCGCGATGATCTGAGTGCATTCTTCAGCGGAGAGGACATCTTTCAGAAGATGGAGGTTTGGGACAACCGGGTGCGTGTGGATTGAGGTCTTGGGTGCATTGGGCGAGAGGAGGATCGTGTCGTCCCTCGAAGCATGGAGGATCGCCGGGTGGAGGTTCGGCGGTTTCCGTTGCAGCCCTGGGGTTTCCTCGATGATGCGGAACTTGGTTGCGACATCCGTTGGTAACGAATCGAAGATGCTGCCGTCCTGGACAGCGTCATAAACCATCCTGCGCGGGCCGTCGTCTCTCAGGTCCCACGCCTGTCTAGGGTTGATGGGCCCGGCCCCAACCGCACCGCCCGTGTAGTCTGTCGGGCCTGTGAGTCGTAGGATGGCGTCTAGAACCACCAGAAGCTCCTCTTCTCTCGATGTTCTCGCGCGCCCTGCCTCGTCCAATTGCTCTGCCAATCCACTGACCACGTCGAGGTCTCGTACCCATCGGCATAACGCCCCTAATTTCGGCTTCTTCCCTCTGATTCGCATCTCTGAAAGTAGGATCCGTGCTTCCATGTACCCTCCATCGGCGAGAGCACCACTGATCCGCGCCGTGAGATTGGTATCACCTTGACCATGTTAGCAACCCCTCGAGTGCGGGCGGGGTAGATACGATACCAGAAACATTGAGGCCAGTCGTGCAAGCCTGCCGGAACTCATAAACAGCCGTCCGTAAATCTTTACAAGCTTTGGTCTTGATAACGCTCGGGTTCTCCGTGAGCGTCCGGAGAGTGTCAACGGCGATATCCAGGTCGTCTTCCTCTAGCCCCACCGAGCGGAGCGTCTTGGGTTCGGTCCCATCGGGAGGCGGTGTTATGGTCCCGCTCGTCTTGACTTTCTTGGCTGTTCCAACATTTTCGGGACCTTGCGCCCTTCGCTTTGTTTTCGATTTTGCCATTTCTGAGTGGGGTGAATTGCACAATTGAAGGATCTGTGGTGGGCTGCTTGGAGGCGGTGGAGATGGGCAGTATATTTATAAATAACTTGGTGCGTCTGATTCGCAACCTCAGTTCAACTCCACGATCAACCGCGCTATCTATCTATATCCAAATCCTCTATTTCATACTCAGCGCAATCTACTTTATAGTAATAAAGTATTGAGCTTAGATGATACGGCCTTTACAAAGTGCTAGAGGGTCGGTTCATCACGCCTTCCAAGTTCCATGAGCGATGATGGATGAACAAGGTAGCATGTGTCAATATACGTGTTTGTTTAGAAATGACAGTGTTAACAGCATTAGAAATGTATCTGCAAGTGCATTACATGGGTGATTTGTTAGAGTGTGGGCAAGCCTTGAAATTCGATTCTAGGCCCAAACCAAGCATTCTCTCGGGCATCTGATGCTTTACAGATTGCATTCGGGCAATATTATTATGAACTTTGATCGACAACGTTGTTTTCTATTATGCCCATCATTCATTCAGCCTGTGTGCAAACCATTCAAGACTGCCACATTTCTCTTTGTCCTCTATCTGCCAAAATCTGCCCCCAGAAACTTGGAAACCTGATTGACGAAAGTCTTGGGGAATGGTCAGATTCGAACTTACGACATGCTGGATGATGAACATAAGGGTAACACAGTATTGCTTAAGATCATTTACAAGCTAATGCGACGACCATTAGGTGCTCATGTCAAATGTCAGGTTCAAACCAGTATTCTATGAATAACCTACTGGGATCTGATGACGGATAATGAAGCACGGTAAGTACTTCACTGTTGAGAAGAAGCTGTTAGAACTTTTCATACAATCTGAAACCCCATAACTCTGATTTCTTTCTCGATGAAAGCTAATTTATGGTGGAAGGACATTTTACCGAAGATAAAGCGCTGGACTTTGCTATTCCTTTAGACCGGTATCAGCACGAGACTGGGATCGGAATGCATTCACTGCTTTGGCACCTCAAGGAGATATCAGTCAAATTACCAACATTGGGCAGAACATCTAGAGTCAATTCCGCACTTCGGCACATACATCCAAATGAATCGTTTTTGCATTGCTATGTCCTTAACTTCCGACACTACCCTCCCCCCTGGGTTTCACTCGTCCTATAATCACCGAATTTACAACGTGATTGTAAGGATGAACAACCATACAGATCTCCAGGCAACTTAAGACCTTATCGGTAGTAGTATCAAAGGCCTGTGTGTCGTTAGCAAATTTCCTACAAAGTCATCAAAACTCGATTGTGCCCCACGCATTCGAAACTTACCGGATATAACAAAGTCCTCAAACTATGGGCTGTCCGAACAACCAGCAAACTCCCCACTCGCATTTTGGCAACGATACTCGTCAATACCGCTTCCTTTTCTTCCTGGGTTGTTCCAACAAGCGCGGCAAGGAAGACCACATCACAAGCTTGCAGCTCAGGCCCAAGAGATTCAGCTTCTTGACAAATGAACTGCATTCCTTTTGCTCGTTGCCCCAGCTTCTTACAGAGCGCTGAAGATTGAGACAGTGCTTTTGAATCGTGGTCGATATTAATAACGACATTTTCGGAATGATCTTCCAGTTCGGGCGACTTGTTGCTTTCAAGAGTCTGATACATGCAAAGCGAAGTCATTGGCAAAGGCCCAGAACCAATAAAAACAACGCTCCGCGGTGTTGAGGGGTTGATAGCATGGATGGCAGAAAGCTCCATGCGTGTGAGATCAACATAGTTCTCATAATATGGAAACTCGGTCAACCGAGCGCAGCCTGGCGTAATGTTAATTTTGAACTTGAATCTCCAGAACTACAGGCATGCCTTCCTTTTCATCCTCAGCACCTGTGATGAACTCGGCCCAATGGGATTCAAGATGACATTCTGCCTTGGCGGAAAGATCTCTCAGAGATGGCAGAATATCAACAATACGTTGATCCTCGAGTATCTATATTGAAGTCAGCAGTGTCGTGAATGTGCGAGGAGTATCTTACCCTTCTGGTTTTTGAGTCGTTGAAAGTCTGGGTACAAATTCCTACGAGTTCGCCAAAGAGACTATTGACAGATGGACTCGGCCTCAGGTCGGATATTTTGGAAAGGAGGCTGTGAATCCTTGTGATGTTCTGGATGATACTTTCGGTTTGTTCTTCCTCCTCTGATTGGGGTGGCTTCAATACCACCTTTCGACGATCAAAAAATCGTTTCAACATCTCGCTGTTTAACCACCACTCCATTGAGGAAATCAAGATCTGTCACAAGATGAACAATATAGTTGAGCTTTAGGACGTGAAAACAACTCAAATTAGAAGAGCAAGTTTGTTAGACAAGACGTGAGCAGCTGCGTGCCTCTAAAAAGGAAAACTTTTTCACGATGCCAGCTCATTTCGACTGGCAAACGGATCACGCCTCGGGCAAGTGAATGGGCCGTTCATGCATGCGCATGCATGAACGGTAGTGATTTGAAGATCCCCCGGTCTTTCCAAGGGAGGAAGAGGGACTGGCTAAGAGGGCATGGAACATGACAATATTGATTAAAGTGGTTGAAGCAAACGCCCTGAAGTATACAACGCATAGTTTCCAAAACTGAGGTACGATTGCGTCTCTTACACAGAATATATACTCTCATATATGTACTGATCTTCCTCACTTGAGGGCTTTACTTAACAATGCTCTCCAACAGTTGAAGCTCGCGGTGGGTCTGTTTGCTCAACTGTTGTCTTTGAAAATACCCATCAAGGTGTTCAAGCTAAACCCATTATGCTATAGATGTGTCTGCAGGGCACAAACAAATACCAAGGAATGTTCGAGGTTTGTCACCGGTCTTCCCTTGTCTTTTTCATTTTCTCTTTGTGGCTGTAAATACAAGTTGCGTGGTTGGTGGATGAGCACGTGACCAAAAGGGGGCTTTGCGACGGGATCCTTCGGTGCATTAAACGAATCCCTTCTTCCTACAACCTCTTCAACATCCTCACAAAAGAAATACGGTTTAGCGGCAAGTGTCCTTCAACCAAGCAAGCAAATCGGATGCGGTCTCCGATTTCGAAACTGTGTTATATCTTGTCGCAACGGAATTTATTCTCTATTGTGCCAAGCGTGTTCAGCCATACTTCCATGTTTCAACTCCATGCTTCGTGCAAAGCAGCTCTTCCTTCGCCCCCAGCAAAGGAGGATGGCACGCTTGTATAAGCCCCATTCCAAGCAATTCTCCAAAGGCCCCACGCCTTCTCTATGATATTGGCATCCATGCACCGGCTATCTACCGCTTCAACCTTTTCGCTCCTTCAAATGCGCCTCCTTCGCACCCCGCCATCGTGCGATCGATCAACTCAATATACTTTGTATGATAGGACAGTTCCTACCACAATCTCATCCTTTTGGAGATAGAGTTTAATCCATAATCTCTTTTGAAACACCTCGCCGTATACCACCCAATCCTTATCTTGGAAGAAGAGTTGATGTCCGGGGAAATTTTGGGGAAAGCGGGCAAAGCGGGCAAAGCATATAAGGATATAGCTTTAACAGCATTAAGCACCACCATTGACAAAAGTTATCTCAATGATCTTTTGTTGACCCTAAGAGCTTTGCCCCTTTTTTGCTTTCCTTCTTTCCTTAGTTCGGGTGGTTGCTTCAGTTTTCTTTTCCTCTCTCATTGGCCATTTACAAAACACCCATCATCATCATTATCATCATGCGGTACTATACCACTACCATTCTAGCACTCGGATTCTTCACTTTTCAAACCGTCACAAGCTTTGCGATTCCAGCAAAAAGACCATTAGTCGGCCTAGAACCTCCATTTGAGGGCCTAGGTCCCGTCAAACTCCCTCACAACCCACCAATCCGAGCTCTCGAACCCGTCCAAGAACGCACCTATGAGGACAAACCAGGATCAGGTATCCCATCAGTACAGTATATCAGGAATGAGAAAACCGACTCTTTAACCCGGATGACCAAGAACCAGGGTACTGAGAAAGCAACCACCGAAGAATCCCAAACGCAAGAGGTAATGAACACAACACAGCCAGAGAAAGGATATCTGCTAATGATTTATCTATTTGAAGACATCAACTCCAGATCAAACCCACAAGCGTAGCGATACAAAAGATGAGGAATGGCAAGCCAGCAGATTCCCTGATCTTGCACACGAGAAGCGAGGGATAGGAGATAAAATAACTGCTTGGCTAGCTAAGGAATTCCACTTCCATAGGGTGTGAATGACATAGGGTGTGAATGACATAGGGTGTGAATGATCCTTCGTCCTAGCCGAAACTTCTACGCGCTGTTGTAAATGAGCAGGGTTTACTATTCCCGGGACTCTGAGCGATGGTGGATTTAGGATGGGTTTGGGTGGTAGACAAGTCGATGGTATTTTGACCCCCTTTTTTTTTCTCTTATCTTTTTGGGGAGGGGGAGGGGGATTTTCGTCTTCTTGGTGTATTCGTTTGATGATATTTGGGCTGCTTTGTTAGGGAGAGGTAGAAGGGTAGTAGTAGAGTGAGTGGGTTATGTTTATATATAGCAAAGCACTCCAGCAGAAAGATCGGGACATAAAATCTGATGATTCTCCAAAGCGCAAATATTTCCTTTCGCTACCTATACTGGTACCTAGAAGCTAAACGTCCCCTTCTCCTCCCCATAGAAACAACACAGCTGCATCACCTATCACATAACCATCTACCCCTTTCTCCAACCCCATCCCTTCGCACTCCCTCTCCCTCCCCCTCTTTCTCCCTCGCAATCAACAATAAAATGTGAGAAAAGATATCTGGCTATCTATCTATCTATTCATCTCCCCAAATGAAGATATCGCGCTAATAACACTGTCAGATAAATCTCTAGGGAATATAAAGATATGAGCCGAGCCGGGTGGTAGATGTATATATCAATCGCAGAAGTGACGTATCTTCCATCCTGAGGTCCTGGGTGTCGTAACTTGTTTGTTAACTTGGAAGAAAGAAAAGGGATGGGGAGAGGGGAGGGGCGGTTTTGTTTGCAGGCTAAGCTGTTTTGATTGCTGGTCGTGTTTGATACTACCTACCTAGGTAATGATCACTTGCGGGGAGTCACGGATCGTTTGATTGTACTGCGGATGCTAAGAACTTGTATTCTAAATCACTGTTGTGAGTAGAATCACCAAGGTCATGCGAGTAAGTAAGGGGGTTGAGAAATTGGTTGATTGCTAGTTACTGTAGCAAAGGACGAAGAATACCTATGCACCTAGACAGCCCAAGCCGATAGAGAGGTAGCCCTGTGTGAACAGCGCCACGCAAAGCTACTTAGCTGCCGGCGCTCCACGCGGTATGTAGTATTTCGAGTAATCAATCATGTCTGAGGCATCGCTATCATCCTCCTCGTCTTCGCCCTCGCCGGGTAGAACATCGTCCTCGAGATCGGTCTCGCCCTCTGCATCCTCCGAATATTCATCCTCCAATGCGGATTCCTCCTCTGCATCTAGTGCCATTTCAAATTTGACCCTTGCGCTCTCGCTGTCGTCGAGATTGCTCGGAGCCTCGGCGGGATTGCTTCGCCCGCTGGAGGCATTCTGGTCACGCCATGATTGTCGACCATTAGGTGTGAACATGTCTACTGATGGCGCCAGCGTCTCTGAATCAGTCACTCTCGCTGGCTCGCGGGATTGCCTTAGGTCAGCAAGCCGGTGGCGGATTCTAGTCTTCCGCGCCTTGGATTTGGTATTAGTCTTCCGATTATTTCCGCCGAAGGTATTGACCCCCTTTTCCTCTAATTCCTTGATCTCCTCGTCGGTGAATTTAACGTCTGGGAGCGGCACCCAAAGCTTGCTGCTAGCCTTCTCGTTGTTGTCCACAATATCGGGGACTTTGGATAATACCGACTCGAAGTCTTCGTCTTTGATGGTCTTTCCGATGCGGATTGCCATGAGCTTCATCTTCATAACGGCCCTGATCTTCGCCCAAGAACCGTTGTAGAAGTACCCATCGCCTTTGGAATTGAATTCATGGCAGACGGGTGCGTTGTTGATGAGTTGGACGAGGAACGGATCTGTAACGTCGCAGAATTGCCAGACTTTACCATCGAGGGTGAGAGATTTGCCATCGAAAAGGTGAGTGGTCAAGTCTTTTAGCTTTGTCCGTTTTGAGATGGTCGTGCTGCGAACCTCGTGCCACTTTCGGAAGGGACCCTTTTCTTCCTCTTCATAGAGTTTGAAGAATATGGTCTGATATATCCGGTATTTGGGGTCTTTTCTAGGATCGATACCAAATTTGATGACAACATCACGGAATGGACCACCTTTGAATTGATAGCCGACATATTGCAGCGCAGTCTTGAAGAGGTAAAGGCGTGGCGAGTTTCCAAGACGGTTTGCCAAAGCCCTCCGAGTCCAAAGGGGGCGTTCCTCCAACGCTTCGTTTAATTCTTCAATGAGCTTTTCAAGATCTGGTTCTCTTGGAATTTCTAACGGTCGTGTTTGTGGGATCTCTTCAACGTCGTGACTAAGATATTCGATCTGGAACTTTCTTGATCTCGAACGGTTGATTAAAGCAGATTCTCCAGTGGATTGATTGACCGTCTGGACAATATTGGGGTTCTGATGATAACCCCAATTGAAGGGCAGGACGTGGTTTGTCAATATTGGAGGTGGCACGAATTCCTCGTTCTTCTTCCAACCTCTACTCGGGTTGAATTTGAATTTCCGGATCGATTCCACTGCGGACGTTAGCAAGCACAAGATATTTTTGGTGGGGGGGTTTACTCACTCTCGCCAGGATAGACCAAGTCCAGAAACTTCGGAACAAACTCTGTGTTGCTAGTCGAATGATAGAAATCCGCAAGACCTAGAACCGAATTAGTAAATCTAGTCAGACATCATGATGCTTTATCGTACCTCTGAATCGATGTGTTCTATCGATTTCTGCAACACCCTCGACTGTATAGTTCCCAACATTATCCTTTAGACTTCTCAAGAGCTGACGAGGGTTATCGAGCCTCGAGTGTGATCGGAGATCCGCTGACTGGGAAGTTTGACTGCTATCCCCTGATGTTGTTGTTGTTGAACCAGTAATGTCTCCGGAGTATGGTTCTTGAGAGCCACGCTTGCGCTTCCTTCCTGTACGTTTTGGGACGGTGACCTTGAGAAGTATATTGTTGGTAGTACAGTTATGCGACAGTATCGGGGTACTCATGGGGTCTCGATGGCGGAGATAGATCGGAATACATCCGTCAGGATCATCCAAATCAACAAGCTGTGCCTACGATTAGCATATGGTTGATACAATTGGTATGAATGAGAAATCCGTAGACTTTGTGAATAGTCTTCTTTTCCGTAGAGAGAGAAACTAGGTGGATGGGGGGAGAAGGCGATGCACGTGACACCAATACTCACGCTTTTGAAAGGTCGACCGATTTCGACCCCTGATCCGAACGTCTTGAGGGCCTTGTCAATGTTCTTGATGACCATAGGATGCTCGACGGCGACGACCTCTCTCGTCGCAACCTCGAAGGTGGGTGCTGAAGCAATACCGGACATCTTGGGGAAGAGAATAATCTCTCAAAAATGATATGTTGCCGCTCGTGTGAATGGATAGTTATCCTTTTCGCCGTGGAGGGAATAGCCTGTTGATGTCTCTACTTGAGACACTTCTTATCCACTTGGAAAGGCACGACAAGGGAATATCCCCAATAATTCTCTAATGTCCATAGGAGTTGTGGTGGTTATTGTAGAGACCTCGAGGCTCAAGAGCTCACGAGAGGTCCCGATATGCGGCCCGAATCCTAAGGCATAAATTCAGGCAGCCAGCGCCAAACCATAAAGTTAGGCGCACTACGTGGAGGGGAACGCCCAGCTGTTGTTGTAGACTCGAGATCGTTTCCAAGATGACCCGTTGACGCTGAACCTCTCTTCACGGCATCTTTTCAATCCACCTCGATTTAACCGCAGGAGCTTCAGGAGCGCAGGACGTCTGGGCTTTCCCACGATTGTGCACTCTCGAATGTTCCCATCAATAAGACGAATCTCTTTACCGCCCGGTGCTCCTCTCCACCGCGGCAATTGAGCGCCGCCGCATTTACATCACATTCTCGGTGTCTACCCTGGGTTTATGACCTTCCGGTGCGTTGAACCCTGGATTACTCCCTGGCCGTTAGACTTGGGTTGCTGGGTTCTCCCGATGGCAGACTGACGTGCGTTAGGATAGCTTAGAATTACCCCTTAGACCCAAAGTCACGAAATCAACAGCCTCATCCGTTCGGCTTACCTGGCAACCCACAACCACACCCGAAGACAATAGCTACGCGTTATCGAAGACGTTGTGCACGTCCGGCCCCAGTCTGTTGATACCTGTGCCAAGCGTTTGGTCTCCTTGCGTCTTGTGGACCTCGGGACGTCAACAAACGCTACAACACAAAGCGTGGTCCAACGCGCTCTGCGACCTCTTGTAGCGGCTGATCCTGTGTCTAGAGGATTGTGGTTCTTTACTTCTCAAAGGCTGTCCCTTGGAAATTACCGATCTCTATCCTCCTACCAGATAACGCTTCGACCCACATCCACACCCGGACGTGAACCCGAACGCAGCCAAACCGCATCTTGCAACCGTTTGGATCCCGTATTGAGAGGTTTGGGCCCTGCCATATATCGAATCAGTCGATTCTCGTGAACGGCGAGATCTGAAACGCAAGAGCTCATTGGCGAAGATGAAAGGCTTCAGGCAGAGGGTTGTAAGTCATCCTGATGGATCGAAGGATGGGGGCGCATTGACGGCGCGCGAACCTTTGGTAATGCATGAACAAATGCTAACCCATTCAGCATGAGCAGCTCTCGCGCGCGAAAGATCCAAACAAGTCGTCCAAATCCAAGAACAAGGATTCGAAGGATGGGACATCGTCCCCTTCACAATCAAGTAGCTCCCGAGAAGCAGCACAATCACCAACAGTCACTCCTTCGTCGTCAACGACTGCACTCAACGATCCTCGGAACAAAGCACTCCCTCTAAATGATGGCGGGGCTTCAAGCTCGGCTCACACGAGCCCTGCTGCTCAGCAGCCGCAATCAGGCTCTATCAATTCGCTCAACCTAGGTCAGAATTCGATAGCTGCTCCAGACAGGTTCAACGGCATGGGAGGGTCACCCAGTCCAGGGCCTGGGACACCTGGCCGTCATGGTCAACTGCCCCCGAGTGTTATCATCAGTCCCAGTGCTCCCGTAAGTGAATACTTAGAGACTAAGCGATGCTGGCTAACTCCTCCCCTCCAGCATATCCCTCCCCCAGGTACAGCAGAGACGATGCCCCATGATCTTGCTCCCCCGAAAATTGGCCAGAAGTCGTTGATGTTTGACCGATTACATACAACGCCGAAAGACGTGCCGGAGGGAATCAGAACCCCCAAGAGGCAGCATTCTTCAAGATTCGATATTTCCCCTCAACGAGAGCTCGAGAAGTTACCAGGCTTTCACGAAGTGCCTCCTAACCGACGACAGGATCTTTTCATGCAGAAAATCGACCAGTGCAATGTTATCTTTGATTTCAACGACGCGAGTGGTGACATGAAGTCGAAGGAGATCAAGCGACTAGCCTTGCATGAGCTGTTAGACTACGTGGCGAACAACAGACAAGTTATTACAGAGGCCATGTACCCAAGAGTGGTGGATATGTTCAGCAAGAACCTTTTCAGACCAATACCACCGCCTGTCAACCCACAAGGAGAGGCATTCGATCCAGAAGAAGACGAACCCGTCTTGGAAGTTGCATGGCCACACATTCAAGTTGTATACGAATTTTTCCTTCGATTCATTGAAAGCCAAGATTTCAACACAAACATCGCCAAAGCGTACATAGACCACAGCTTTGTCCTTCAACTACTCGAGCTGTTCGATTCAGAAGATCCTCGAGAACGTGATTTCTTGAAAACTACCTTGCACCGAATATACGGAAAGTTCTTAAACCTGCGGTCCTACATTCGAAGATCCATCAACAATGTGTTCTTTCAATTCATCTACGAGACGGAGCGATTCAACGGTATTGCAGAGCTGCTGGAAATTCTCGGGTCGATCATCAACGGATTTGCACTGCCACTGAAGGAGGAACATAAATTGTTCTTGACAAGAGTTTTGCTTCCAATGCACAAGGTCAAGAGCTTAAGCATGTACCACCCTCAACTGGCATACTGTATTGTTCAGTTCTTGGAGAAGGACGCGGCATTAACAGAAGAGGTTTGTCGTCCCGTGCGTGTGACGAAGCAAAGCTAATAAATTTAGGTCGTCCTTGGCTTACTTCGATATTGGCCAAAAGTCAACAGCACAAAAGAAGTCATGTTCCTTAATGAGGTGGAAGACATCTTTGAAGTGATGGACCCAGCGGAATTTGCCAAAGTCCAAGAACCCCTCTTCCATCAACTCGCAAAGTCTGTTGCAAGCCCACATTTCCAAGTAGCGGAACGTGCTCTCTATTTCTGGAACAACGAATACTTCTGCAATCTCGTCAGCGACAATGTCGAGATCATCCTCCCCATAATGTTTGCGCCGTTATACGAGAATTCGAAAGGTCATTGGAATCGGTAAGTCACTAAGTCACATACTTTGTAGCTTATTGAATGCTAACACATCTCTAAGAACAATCCACGGCATGGTCTATAATGCTATGAAACTGTTTATGGAGATTAACCCACAACTCTTTGATGACTGTTCTCATGATTACACTGAGCATCAAAACAACGCAGAGGCCCGAGAGCTAGACCGAGAAAATAAATGGAAGGCCTTAGCAGAACAGGCAAAGCGATCGAAGAGTAATGGAGCCCCCCGATCTGGGGCCAACCAGTCACCGGCCAGAACCAAGACCACCACGCCGTTAAGGATCGACGAAGTAGACCCGGTCACAGACGACAACCAAAAGAGATTAGATTCGCTGAAACTTCAAGATGGGGATCGTAGAGAGCGAAGATCAACTCACGATCGGCAAAACTCGGTAGGCTCCTCCAGAAGTCAGCGATGATTTGCTTTAGCACTATGCCGCTTTATTCTGTGTTTCAGGATGCCTCTTCTGCTTGATTTTCTGGAGTTTTTGTTCCGACTAGAAGTTTCAACTCGCGTATACCTCTCTTCCCTCGAAGTCGAAGTTTGCTCCCCTCCTCGTCATCACACAAAGCATTTTTCTTTTATTCTTGCCTGCGTTACCTTTATGGGGAGGGTGACTCATTGACGGTGCCTTCTCCAGAACTCCAATAGTAGTACGACTTCTCATGAACGGTCCGGGAGTGGAGGTTCTGCGACGGCGGTTGTGGGTCTTGTCCTGGATCCCTCGGGCCTCGACGTCGAGTCGGACTACAGACCTGTTCAGACGCTGCCGGACGAATATGCAAGTCATCTTTCTTGATTGCATGGATAGAAAATGAAATGTGATGGACGGGATGAGTGGATGAGTGGACGGATGTATGGGAGAGAAGGGCGAGATGGCTCCTGTACGACGAATTAGGCATTTTGCGCAAGGGTTTCTTCCGCTTTTGACGACGAGTGTTGACTCGATTCGATTAAATGAGCTTTCTCCTCGGAACTTGGGGTGATGGTGGCCTGCGTTTTGCTGCCAGCTTCTTGATAACCGTCGTTTCTGTTCTCCTATGAACGAAAGTAAATATGGAGCGTAAAAAAGGCATTTGGGCGTTTGTTCAGATCGGCACATCTCTCTTGCTTGTCTTTCAGGGGCAGAGTAATGAATTGTGATGACTATGTGCTTCTACCCCTTGTATTAATTGTGAGTGAGATCTTCTAATATGGACTTGAATCTCTCCCCCATCTACGGTTCTTCTTGGATATGCCATTATTGGTCTTGATATGCCGTCTCTTGTAAAGCCCCTCCAACTCCAAACACCCCTTGGTGTACCCAAACGCCAATTGCTTGCCTGCATCAATATCTTCCCTTTTTCTAAAGCACCAGAACCAATATTAACAGCAGAATGAGCACGAATATCAACAGCGCGATACAGAAGCTACTCAAGCCATCCTCATTCCTCCTTACCACCTCCCCCATCTTCCTCAACCCGCCTTGCAGCCTGCCTCCTACGCGATCCGCGAGCCTATCCGTCTCATCCAGGATATAAGCCTGCTCTTCCAGCTCGCGCCCCATGTCATCGGCTTGCTGCCGCAGAGTGCCCACCGTGCGGAACACGCCGTCCAGATCCGCATCCTGCTCGCGCATCATCGTCAGCTGCTGTTGATGCTCGAACTGGCCCGCATAATCGCGCCCATCGTCGTCCCTTGCGGGCTGCTCCAGCGCAGCCGCGTTCGCCTGGCCCTGCGCAGACCGCGCCAGCTCCTCCCGCATATCCTCGACCTCGCCACCGACCTCATCGACGAGGCGTTTGCGGCGGCTCACCTCCTCGATCTCGAGCCCGTACTTGTAAGGGTCGTCCTGGGCGGCGCTGACTGAGGCGACGAGGTCGGCGAGGTCTTCGGCGAGGATGGTCAAGGAGGATTCGAGCTCCTTGCGCGCGGATGCTAGTTCGGGGGAGATCTTGCCGGTCGTGGTGCTGAGGGAGCGGATGCGGAGGTAGGAGGTGAAGAGCGCGCGGGTAGAGGTGAGTTGGGCGAGCACGTCCCTGCGGGTGGGGGATTAGCTGAGTGGGAGGAGGGAAGGGGAGAAGCGGGGAGGACGAACGCTTGCACTTGGAGGAAGGGATCATCTTCGTTCGTTGAGGACATCATCTTCGCTGGATTCTTGCTGACGGATCATGTGGGAATGGCTGGGTTGTTGGAGGATAATCCTGTCCTTCGTCTTGTCGTAGCTTGATAAGTGCAGTCTCTGGCAAGCTGTAAATCAATTGAATGCGCCACTCTGTCGGAGAGGCCGTTACGATCTTGTGCTTGATACGGCCTGCTCTTGACGCAGCCTGCTTGTCGTTCCTGCAGACGAGGCTGCTGGTTGCAAGATACTGGCTGGGAATGTAGTCCGGGGGAGTGCAGGCGACTCCATCAACCGGGAAATCGGTCAGCCTGTGAGAACCCAGTCGACAGATAGCCTCACATGCAGTTTTCAGCGGACGGGTTCTCGCACAGGGATTGGACTGATGGTGTGGTCTGAGAAGAAAGAGAGTGGTGGTGTTGATAGATGTCGGAAATATAGACGTGTAGAATACTGTAAATATTTACGTATTATTTACTTAAATGTCATATAAAATCCACAATATACCGTAGTTCTGCACTTACATCGCCAAAGCATGCCTCCGTTACCAATCGAACTCTCGATCATAAATATTTTAATCTTCTCATTGACTTATCGCCATCTTTCCTCCAACCATCTAGCAGTTGTACAGCAGTCTATATAGCATTTCTGCCTTCTCTTCCGCGGCAGTCTGCAGCCATTACAAGTGTGTGGCTGTGAAGTACTTTTCCTTGCCCGATTATCGCTGCTCGAATATCCCTGGATCCTAGGCAAGCGCTCACAGGCCAGGCATGCCAGACAGCGCTGGAGATTGAAGTCAATTATCCAGCAGCTCGACCAGCATCACAGCCACACGTTTCCCCCTGTTCTTTTTCTCTCCCTCCATGTCCAGGCCACTGCTTTTCTACTCACGCATTGTGGACTTCCAATCTGTGCGAACCATTCTCCTGGTGGAACAGCCTTTGTGGCCAGTGGCCAGTGCCGAGTTGCAAAATCCGCATCCTGCATCCTGAATGCGCTGTACCCGGAAGCCATAAAGGCCACGGTTCTGTTCGCTCACTCCCTTCCTCAACTATCATACTTGGTAAAAGCCGAAAACTTGAGGAAGTTCTTCCGGTGGCAAAGGAGGAGCCGGGTCCAGTTTTCGCAAGTCTTGTACTGCACGTGGCGGTGGTACAAAACCCGTGCTACATACCGTTATACATTGTCATCTGGAGAGGCTAGAGAAATATGAGACAGAAGATGGCTCTCAGTTCAATCCTGGGAACAGCGTTCCCATCCCGAGAGAACGTTTCAGATCCGTTAACTGGACCCGCCACTAACATCTCCCCAACCACTCTCCTCGAAACCTTCATCCCGGGCTACGGCCCCATCCACAAATTTCTTCTCTACACCTTTGGTTTCGACGTCACAGTCCTCGTCTCCCTAGGGGCCATCCTCTGGCTTGGGGGCCGTATAGGTCGCTCAGTATGGACCGTGATCTGGGCTCTGATCGCCGCCAATTGGATGGCCGAAGTATCTGTCAGCAGCTCCGATGAGATCCACGCCCACCTCCTCCAATTCCTTGCGCACCAGTACAGGACCAAATCCTCACGACGCCTGATGGCCGAGACCCCTACCAAATCCGCTTGGGAACTTGATAGCGAGGATGCGGAAAACTTAGAGACCACGGTCGATGCAGATGGGAATATCAAGTGGCTCAACTTTTCAAACCAGGAAGCGAAAACCCAGCCGATATTTACGCCCGCAATCGGGAATCACAGTTTCTGGCATGACGGCACCTACTTCACGCTCAGGAGGAAAGAGGTCACGCTTTTTGATGAACTTGGCGGTGGCGGAGCGGCCACTCTGAAGGACAAAGAGATTCTGACCCTGTCTTGTTTCGGGAGGTCGACAGAGCCGATCAAGGCCCTTATTCAGCATGCCAAGAGCCATTATCATCTTGGTCATAATGCAAAGACAATCATTAAGAGGCCAGCGCCGAAGGATATGCGAAGATTCGGGGGTAGAGGGTCCTGGGTTAAGATTGCGGAACGGCCTTGTAGACCTATGAAGACGGTCGTGTTAGATGAGGAGCGTAAGATGGATGTCCTGGCTGATATCAACGAGTACCTCAATCCGGCAACTGCCAGGTGGTACGCAAATAGGGGTATCCCCTACCGTCGAGGATATCTATTCCACGGGCCCCCGGGGACAGGGAAGACGTAAGAACCTTAATAAGACAAGTATAAACATAAACTAACTTATATAGATCTCTTACTTTTGCCTTGGCGGGCGTCTTCGGATTGGATATCCACGTGGTCAGTTTGCTGGAACCAACGTTGACGGAAGAGGAGTTAGGGATGCTCTTCACTAATTTACCGGCTCGCTGCATCGTGCTCCTAGAAGATATCGACACAGCGGGTCTGCTGCGAAACGACCCCGAATCCGACGAATCCAAGAAGGTGGATGGCGATTCATCATCGAATCAGGATTTTAATGTAGTTAATCTGACCAAGGCGCTGAGGAAAGCTCAGGAGCAATCGGAAGAGGAGCGCAAGAAAGGCATTTCATTGTCTGGTCTCCTGAATATCATTGATGGTACGTCCTCTTTTGCCCCTTTTTGTTCATGGGGGCCAGCCCCCAAGCCCCCATCCTCGCTGCGCTCGATTTCACAATAGCAGCTTGCCCCCCTTCCTACTCAAACAGACCTCCTAACACCCCCCAGGCGTCGCCTCCCACGAGGGCCGCGTGCTAGTAATGACGACCAACCGGCCCGAAAAACTCGACGATGCCCTGATCCGCCCTGGCCGCGTCGACCACCAAGTCGCATTCGAAAACGCCAAGACGCACCAGATCCAAGAACTCTTCGAGCGCATGTACGCCAACGAGCTCCCTCGCACGCGGCTCCAGCCCTCCGTGGACCTCACGCCGCCATTACCCCCCACCACGGGCGAGAAAGTCAAGGTCCTGAACGCGGTCGTTGCTGAGGTGCAAGGCGATGAACTGAGGGCGCTGGCTAAGGAATTCGCGGCTAGGGTCCCCGAGGGCCTGTTCTCCCCTGCGGAACTGCAGGGGTTCTTATTGAAGAGGAAGAAGGATCCGAGGAAGGCGTGTGAGGAGGTCGAGAAGTGGGTTGCTGGTATGTTGGAGGTTAAGCGCGCTGGGGGGAAGTTGGTCCCGCAGTAGTCTTCCGAGGGAGCGGAATCAATCAATCATGATTAATGAGAGAGAGAGAGAGTAAGGTAGTGGTGGCTAATTGATCCAGTTCATCTTACGTATACATCTAGAAGAATAAAATATATATATATCATCCCCCTCCCCTCTCCCATTCTTTTATCCGCCCCATTCTTTCTCCCCCTTTTGACTAAAATAAACTCAAGTCCCTAACTCTCTAACTTCTAACACACTTCTCTTCTCTAAGATATCCTATTCTAAAGTACCTTACCTATTACCTTCCTCTCACATCTTTATCTCATCCCACATCTCATCCCATCTCACCCCCTAACCTACCTAACCCCCCCCCCCCCCCCCCAC